GGCCAGAAAACACTTCTGGCCAATTGTATCCCCTTTTTTAGGCGATTTCGAATTCTACGATTTAATCAGCCTGCAAAAGTAGTCTGGTGGAGACTAGAGAAAGGTAGCCTCTACCGCGGATCGCTGAAAAAAAAGAAATTAGCCAAATAAAGGGAATAGTATACAAGGGGAGTTAGCCGACCAGAGATAGCCTGGGTACCATCCTACTTGTATGCCGGGGCTCCCACACTCGCTTCCCTAAGAAGTACTACTTCTTAGGGAAGCGAGTGTGGGAGCCCCGGCATACAAGTAGGATGGTACCCAGGCTAGACCAGAGAGGGTACATTTTGTAAAATGTACTATCTCTAGCGGATCATGATCAACTCTCCTGGCATGTTATCTCTCTATTTCAGGCTCTCTATTTGGCCAACTTCTCAGCTCTTTCCGACCTCCTCGCGAAGCCTGGTAGAGGCTAGAAGAAGGTGTGTCTAAGTTTATTTTGACAGTTGCCATTCGGTAGACGAATTTACCGACTAGTAAAAGACCAATAAATGAGTAACTACGTCCGTCTCATTAGCGTTTGGTAAACACAATCTTTGAAGAGCCAAGGCAATTCGAAAGAAAAAAAAATTAAAAGTGGGTTATAGATGACAGATGGTCACGTATAGATGTATCAGGAACAAAATGCAATTTCCCTGGATTTTTTCATAAGCTTGTCCAGTTCTTCCATGCGAAAACCGCATTTCCTCAAGTATTAAAATTAAAGCTGACGGAAATTGTGTCAAATCATGCAGCTGCGCTTGACCACTGAGAATCTTTTTCATGTTAGACATCGAGATTTGTAATTCCTTTGGTCAACGCAGCCATCGTTTCATCAGTCGATAGATAAGAATAACATAAATTTCCGTAGGCAACACATTAAAATTCTTGTCTCAGATGATGTCTCGTCCCATTATCATCATCGTCAAAAACAATAACAGCTTGATATCAGGAGTTAAAATCTAAGGTCAGTTAGCACTGTTACACAGCATTTCTCTGTTGTAGCATTCATTTCTACTGGTAAATATTTCGGTGTGGTAATCTGGATGTACGTGGCTGTTGTAGTATAGGAAAGAGAGGTTGTGAGGGAATGATCGTTACCTTTTTATATATGGCCGTTTTTTTTTGGTCTTGATCCCCACCAACCCGTCGGTGGCCGCGGACCTTCTCTGGCTAATGGATACTGCCTGGCCAATTTGATACTGTCTTTTTGCCACCGAGAGGGATCTGCTTGGAGATTATAGGAACAGACGCTGTGACATCAAGCCAATTCTGTCACGTATGTACTAGTAATTGATGACTCAGTAGTGTATATATAGGGCATATTAAAACGAGAGCAAAGGAAGCGGTCTTTGGGTTTACTGAATGTCGCTTCCGTGCCCCGCTGTGTTATGAAGAGTTTAGTCAGAAATGAGGTGTTTTCAGCTGGATCTTTAATGTTCATGATTTCATGGTGAAGTAATGTAATCTCCAAGTCCAAGCAGATCCCTTTCGGTTGCAAGACAGTATCCATTTGATAATAATAATAGCCCGAGAAGGTCGCCGACCACGTAGCGACAAAAACAAACAAACAAACAAACAAACAAACAAACAAGCAAACAAACAAACAAACAAAAAACGGCCATATATATAAAAAGCTAACGATCATTCCCCCACAGCCTCTGCTTGGAGAGTAATGGTAGTCTTGCCTGGGTACCATCCGGATTTTGGCCCGGCAACGCTCGAAAAAAATTCAAAAAAGAGTAAAATTTATCCAATAGGAGAATAAACTGGGGGAGTTTAGCCATCCTCCCAAGCCAGGGGTGCTTCCTTACGAGCGGGATAGCTCTGCCGTGGGAGAATGAGTTTAGCCAGCGTAGAGTTCATTTGCCCGCGTAGTTAGGGGGAAATTAACCCTCTCGCAGACGGACTCATCTGGCCAACAATTTCCCTTTTTTACCCAATTCTAGGATCCGTACCCCCGTAGGAAAGCCTGGTGGAGGCTAAAATAATGGGGAAGGGATCTTTTGAAGTTTATAGTTTGAAAGCCATAGAAAAAGGTAGGGGCTGTCGTTTGTACATGTACATGTATCCTCAAATACCCTCCTGTGTTTAACGTTGCTAACACGCGTCAAGGATATATCTATTGAATGTTCCTGGGATTGACTTGCTTATTTTGTCTACAAGTTATCGGGATGGGGTGGGAGGGGTATTAAATTTGGTAAAACAAGCCGATACGCATCACAAATAATTGGGCGATTAAAGAGGAAAAAAGTTATCGTTAAAGTAGGCGAATAACGTTAAGATCGGAATGTCAAGTCTCGCACGTCAAAAATGTCGATAAGAAATTGTTGAAAAATTGTTTTTCTTGATCCTGTAGTCGCACGCGACTCGAAAGGATTTAGGCCGAACGTTGGGTTGTGAAAGATCATACCGGTGTTGGCAGGACACTACAGTTTTTATGGATTCTTTACTTCCGCTGTTGGGATATGGTGTTATATGAGAATATGATCGTTGCCATGGTAACAAAGTCGGCAAGAATCCCTGCGTAGGAATGTCGTGCTTTGATCACGATTTGATGGAGCTACGCCAGCTGTCCGGCTCAGATCTTATGCAGATTACGCGGCATAAACCTGGCTTATGTTATCACAGGGGATCAGGATTTCTTAAATGGTAGAACAAAATATCCCTGGCGTGAAGACCAGCTCGAAGGCATCACCTCACCTCACGTCTGTCTCGGAACCGTGAGGCGTGAAATCACGTCTCTGCGCACACCGCGCACACACAGTAGTGACTCGTCCCTCCCGTTTGGAGGACATCCAGAGACCGTCCTGTCTTGTCTCTAGGACAGGTCACATCACGTTCCCGCCTTTTGGCCCCTCCCGGATTCCTCTCGTCCCCAGGGTCGTCATTAGGATGATACTTCCCACCACCTCCCCGGCGGCGCCTTTGATCTCCGTAATACCCCGTAAAACTGGAGACGATCCGGAATAATCACCATGACGACCGTCAAACGTACAAGGTCCATAACATCACCCTTGTTGTTTACGTTTACACGCAATTCAACGGCCTTGGGCTCCATATCAACATCAATTCAAATAGTCTAAACATTCCACCAATTTTCATAAAGATACAATTCCTTTTGAGACTTCGCAAATGAGACATCCTTTCCTAAAGAACCGCAAATTGCCTCAAATTTAAATGTAGACTCGTAAGATTTAGAACATAATTTAAAGGTTTACGTTCTCTAAACGTGTCCCCTACAGGCAGAACTAAAAAGAAAATGTCTCACAGCATTCTTTAAATTGTAATGCCGCAATGTATTTGTCTTACTGATTCATATTGTACTTGGCAAAGAAAACTTTGCTAATGTTCGAACTAAAGTAGTTGTTGTGATATTCAATATTGCAACTTTGACATCAGCTGTCTTTCTTGTACCGTGCTACTTGTCACATCTTGATTCCTCCCAACAGATGTCACCAAAGGGTTGATCTAGTCAGCGTGAAAAAGTAAATTTCTGTAAAAATGCGGATTTTCCGGGCGAACTTCTGCCTTTTGCTCTGGCCGTAATGACTGGTCCCTGGTGGATCCGGAATGACGCGATCAGCCCCGGATTCCGTGACAAGAAGGGGAACGGATCCGTTCTGCCGGATCTGCCGATTCCCCGCCGCTGGCTCCTGGGATGACGCGTCTTGTTTTCCTGCGGTGTTCGATTAATGGTCGATTAATTTGAAGAAAGCATTCGACATAGGAATTAGAGAAGGGTTATAAAAAAACTGTGTTTCTCACGCTTTGCATTGTAACTGTATGGAATTGTGGATTCCATTCATCTTGTTTTCCTTCGGTGTTCGATTAATGGTCGATTAATTTGAAGAAAGCATTCGACATAGGAATTAGAGAAGGGTTATAAAAAAATCTGTATTTCTCACGCTTTGTATTGCAAAAAAGAAGCTCTAACTTTATGACCTGTGGTTCCATTCATTTTGTTTTTCTGCCGTGTTCGATTGATTTAAAGAAACCATTCGACATAGGAATTAAAGAAAGGTTATAAAAATCTGTATTTCTCACGATTTGCATCGCAAAAAAGCTCTAAATGTATGGAATTCACATTTTCTGTCATCCACGTTCCGACATGGCAACAGACATCTTTGCCCATTTTCGGGATCATGACTACTGGCAATTAAATCATTGCGCGCCCTGATGTCATCCATAAAAATGACTTGCTGTGGCCTAATTGGGGGCCGGCAAGCCCTTTTCCGTAGAGCGTAATCGGCCGTTTTAATTCTACGTACTATTTTTGCGTAGAGGGTATTCGGCGTTTTAACTCTACGTAATGTGTTGTAGCCACTCAAAGCGTAATCGAGAGGTTTCCAAATTCAGCGTAGAGCGTTGTCGGGACCCCCCCCCCCTTGCAGGCCCTCCTAATTGTACTTCAAAGTTGTGACCAGTTGTCAAGCACGTTTTTTTTCCTCGCGTGTTCTCGGTAACAGTTAAGTACACAACTTGAAGCCTGTCCGTGAAGGTATGCACACCGTCAGGTCTTGACATTCATGGCCCTAAGGTGTGGGAGGAAACAATGGGAACCGACGCACCTGTCTGTTATAGGTAGCACATATATCTGCCTCATCAATGCTGATGTGTTTTCGTGTTATTGTTGTTGTTTGTAGTGTTTATTGGTTTATTTGTGTCAACAACAGCATATAACTGGCAGCCGTGACGTACAAGGCTGAATTTTGATGCTTGTTTACAATAACTGTTAACATAAATTATTCATAGTAGGGCCATTGATAAGTTAAAATCATGTCGACAGACAAACAGACAGGCAGACAGACAGAAAGAAAGACAGACAGACAGACAGACAGACAGACAGACAGACAGACAGAAAGACAGACAGACAGACAGAAAGACAGACAGCCTAGCCCTTTTTTCATCACGTGGACCTTTAAATTCATTTACCTTTACCTTCCGACCTAACTCAGGTATAGTCATTTGCATCTGTAAGGAAAAGTCACAACGTCTAGCCAGGAATCGAACCCGTGACCTCTCGATCCCGTGTCCACGCCACTCGGCACTGTCTGAGACAACGTTTCCGTGTCAAGCTACCTGAAGAAGTGATGTCACTTTAATCCAGATGAAGGACACAGTCTAAGGTGACGTTCGTTAATTGCTTAGCAGCAAAAAATACAAACCTACCAGTATCTAACCAACACACATCGGTGTACTCAGGTGAGCACAGGTATCTGGAACACCTGTAGTGACAGAAGGATCTTATTCTTAAGGTTTTAGGAGAACAATTTGTAGATAGACGTTTTCATGTTCTGTCACCTGAACCAAGAGAAGGGTTCCGACTGTTAGTAAGTCTTCTGTCCTGTTCAAATATTGGGGTACTCTGAAATTAGATGAATTTGATAAAACTCGGTCATTTCTTTGTATTATTTTGCTCAGATATGCCTACAATTCATTATTACGACTGTGCCCAATTGATGGCCACAAAAAAAATGTATGTGTCTCTCTTTTTCCTTGTAGTATTCAAGACATCATTGCATCATGGGCCAGGGTCAAGAGCAAATATATGTTGTATAGGTAAGACATTACGTTTCTTTTTTTTTATTCCAACATTTCATGACTAGACATGGTGACGACACACTCAAGTTTTTTATGCCGCCACCAACGCATAAACTGCAACTGTACCTACGTGATTCCTTCGTGTTTTGGAACAATTGACAAAGTTCATTGTTGTCTTTAAACACGCATGCGTGCCCGTTTGTGCCGTGCACGAATGCCCGGCGTTCGGAGCCAAATCCTTGAGCTGCCACATACGTGAGAGGTCAGGTGTTTAGGGCTAGGATTGGTGTTAGAGTTAGGGTTAGAGTTGGGATCATTGTTCAGGGCTAGGGTTAGACTTACGATTGGTGTTAGGTTATATGAATGAATGAATGAATGAACTTTATTGCTCGACAATCGTACATGGTACAATGTGTGGCAGTAATACAGCAATACTACAAAACTAAACTATCTTATTACATATCTTACTACAAACTACTATCTATACAGTATATGAGTCACACTATGTTAATAAATTGATGATTTGGTCTCGCTTATGAAATAAGGTGTACAGAAATTGACCTACGTAAGCAGATATGGTAGTAGGACATGACAATAATTCATGGAATGTATCGTACTGTGTACTAGATTGGGTGAACTTTGTCTTAGTGGTAATAGTCTGTAAATAGTGGATTATATTAGGTTAAGTCTTTCACACCACGACTAAACCCCTCCCACCCCTTGTCTTAGATATATTGGAAACGGAGTTAATCTCCAAGCAGAGGTTTGGGTTATTTTTGGCGTGTTTTTTAAGGCTTTTTTATCGTTTTTTTTTTTTGCACTGGAGTTTTATTTGTTGGGTTGGGGTGAAAACATTTCCAGTGCAAAAAAAGATAACTCCGATAAAAAAAGCCTAAAAACACGCCAAAAATAGCACAAAACCCAAACCTCTGCTTGGAGAGTATGTCGGAGTCATGTATTTGGCAGGATCCTGTATTTGGCGTGCGTACCACGCTGTTGTTCGACGATTAACGTGTTTTTTTCTTTATTTGCGTCTTTCGTCATCCGTATTTTTATGACTCTTGACTAATAAATCACGTTGTGTTGGACGTGTGGGTTCGCAGAGAGCGGTGTTTATGTAAGGAACCTCTCTAATCAGCAGGCCACACAAGACCTTAAGAACAACTGTTTGCACGGCAAGTTTACCTGTTTGCACAAAGCAGCCGATTCTATTACCTGTTCAGCTCACCTGTGTTTGACGTGGGTTAACACACCTGACGGTACGGCGCACCTGAGCTGACTGACGTCACACTGAGCAGCAAAGGCCGTGTTTAAGTGAAGTCACGCAAGGCGCTTTACATGTGGTTTACCCCGAAGCGGTTTCAGGTGGCTCCATCTGAACGCTCCAAATCACATTGAAAGCGCCTCGATCCCAAACCACTTGTAGAGGCGGTTTCGAATCGGTTTTCCCGCATCGCGATTTGCGTCTGAACGCAATGTGATTTCAATGTGACTTCTCCTGGTCATGGATTACGGGGTGATATTTCTTTTTTTATATGCAATACCAACTTTTACGTGGCAGCAACTTAAAGAGCAGTAATGGTCAAATAATGTGTCCGTTCTAGGGCGAGCTTCACCGCCTCTGGCGGGACTACGTCGGCATTCGGCCGAGATACGCTGGGAGGGGGGCAAGCAGGTCGTTGACCTCTGACATTAATAACACGCTACCTTGCGTGTTTTAATCAAACAACAATAAATGTAGCTCAAGCGAATTGTGATCGGAAACGGTTTCAAAGGATTGTGTGGCACGTGGACCAGATGTGAGGAATGTGAGTTACCCGAATCGCGGTTTGGGTGACTTCACATAAACACGGCCAAAGTAAGGAACTATTCTCGGAATACTCTCCTTCACTTTTAATTAAAACAATAATAACCATCACACGGCTTAAAAACAATAAACATATTTTATTGTCAATCCTATGTTCATTGGCTATAGAGAGATTTTTAAAAAGTTTTTGCGCTTTTCCCTTTTTGTCTTATATTGATACTCATTGATGACAAAGCGTTTTCTGCATGATTTAAAAACATCTTGAATAAAAGCAATTACATCAGGCAATAATATCTAATGAAACCCCCTTTGTAAGGTGACAAATATACTGCCGTTCGTTACATGAAAAACACAAAAACCGCTTGAATGAATGATGAAGACAATGTTGACTTCGATAGCCGGCGGACAAATACACAGGGACTCACAGGTGGTTGAAAATTACTGCCGGCTGAAAGGAGTTATAAAGCGGAGGTAATATTGCCGTATGAACAAGTCTATAGAAGAAGAATTTACTACGTTCGTGTCAACATTTCTTTAAGGTAGCCACAGAGGGGCCTTTCAAGTCATTACCTTGGTATCCAACAAACCAAACTAAACGTTGCACACTTGTAACAAAACAGGGTGACCTCTGGCAGGGACCTCTTGTCGCTGTCATGTAGTGTTGATCCCAGTATATAAAGATACAAGGCTTTCCGATGGTTCACAAACAAGGCGTTTGTTTCCTATTCATCTCGCTAAGTTGTTATTTGCGTTTGGTTGTCACCGACCTAGCTGTTGTCGATCGGCACACCTGCTGTTTGCGTTCCGTTGTCATGCGCGCATGGACCTACCCGACCGCCGGTATCGAGCAGTGAGTCCAAATGGAACAGTAAGTGAGTCCGGAGGTTCATAGAAATGCTGTCAGCCTCTTTGAGAGGAAAATACTGCTTTTCTTTTCATCGCTTCCTGGTACAGATGTGGTGAATGGAGACTGAAGGTAGCTCAAAGCCCCAGTACAGTAGTCACAAAGCAAGAAAAAAGGCTTCGAAACGTTTTTAAGTGACAGCACCAATGTTAAATACAACGTCCAAGTTTAGTTCTTTATACTTAGCATTATATACTTTACAACAACAGCAAAATTACCTGTTCAATTCAGTTTGGACCGTAATTATAAGTCCATGGGGTCGTGTGGCGTAAATGGCATAGCGTGTTCGGCTCATTACCAAGAGGTCCCGGGTTCGAATCCTACTCGTGTCACCGATCTTGCGCCCTTGGGAAAGGCACTTAACTCGACTTTCCTCACTTCACTCAGGTGGAAATGAGTATCTAGCTTCGGTTAGGGACGTCCCTCGGATAGGACGTTAAATGGAGGTCCCGTGTTTGTGGAGAGCCATACCCCAAGCACGTAAAGAACCCACCACACTTATGAGTTCCACCATGGTTCCACTTATCGAAAAGAGTAGGGGTCCTTCCCGGTGTGAGTGGTTCAAACCTTACACTCCGGTCTTACGCAGCTTGTACTTACATGTGCAAAACTGGTGTGTTACGACTGAAGGCGGTTTAGCTGTTATGCGAAACAAACAAGTCAAGAGCATTAGATTTGAATTTTAGAGCCAGTACAATTCACGATGCTACATATACGTATCGGACGACTTATTCTTCATGGCAGTAGGAATGAAAATCCTTCAAAGCAACTACAGAGGCAGGGCCCTCATACTTGGTCCTCTTGGTAACTTGTCACTAGCTTCTACCAGGCTTGGGGAGGCGGCTGGAAAGAGTAGAAATCGGCAGAACTGTTCTCTCAACGGACAAACTCCCTTGGCATGCTTATCCCTAGGCATGCTTATCTCTCTATTTGGCCGATTTCTACTCTTTCCAGCGGCCGCCTCCCCAAGCCTGGTAGAGGCTAACTTGTCACTAGAGACTGCGCAGTTGGTTGTCGGCCTTTGGACATGGATTTATGATTTTTCATTCCTTTTTCCAATTTGGGTCCATCGATCACTTCAAGAATTTGCCCCCGTCGAATTTCCTTTTGTTCAACACTGGAGACTTCAAAATTCCTGGGCGGAAGAATACACAAACAGGCTTTTGTTTCACCTGCACACCTGCGGCCCGGACCGCACCACCGCAATCATCCGCGCTTGGTTGATTAAGCTGTTTATCACACAGTCCTGTAATAACTCGTATTTGCACGGATTCAATATTTGGGAGGTTGTTCATTTAGGAAGCTTATTTGCTCGACCCTTCTTCGAGGTCGTGTTGTTTTTTCTTCTTCTTCCCACCTGTGTGTGTCAGTGACAACCTGTGTCCTAAATATGACAAGTACGTGGCTCGTATGACGGGGTATATTCACACCTTGTCAGTAAGTTTACCTGTGGAGGGTATACTAGTAGTAGCACGACTTCCGACGTGAGGGCAGGTGTACGATACGTAACTAACTACTAAGTACCTAACACCAGCTTAGAAAAGAACAAGAAATAGCCATGCCTTCAGGTACCAGAGTTATCAGCCAAGGATTGAGGTGTTCAAACGCATTCTTTCCTAGAACTATCGCAGAGTGGAACTCGCTGTCACCAAGTACAGTAGGGGCATTGTCATTAGATAGCTTTAAACAATTTAGATGTTAATGGGTTAGGTGTTCATGAGTTAGATGTTCAATAGCCTGGATGCCAGACCCAAAGCACACTGGACACAAAATATCTCAGTGTGCAAGGAGATATTTTGTGTCCAGTGTGCTTTGGGTCTGGCATCCAATCTAGATGTTCAAGGGTTAGGTGTAACAACTCGTTCGGTGTGATGTAGCCATCTGCTGCCCAGATACAGATACAGATACGAAAAGAAAGCTTAATATTCTTCCGTATGGAACAATATACTTGTACTGATTGATATTTTGATATCATATCTCAAAACATATCTTCATCGTGCAATACTCGTACTTTAAAATAGTGTCCGTGTCAGTTCATGTAGCCCTGCATATATATTATTATATATATTACTCAGTCTATAACATTTTTACCATAGCGTATTCTTACCCAATATAACATTCGTTGAGTACTGCTGCCTGTCTCCTTGTCGGTTTCAGTTAGAATACCATTAATGAATGGATGAATGAATGAATGAATGAATGAATGAATGAATGAATGAATGAATGAATGAATGAATGAATGAATGAATGAATGAATGAATGAATGAATTAATGAATGAAGACCTTTATTGTACGCAAATACCCACT